CACTTAATTGAATACACAGAATTCTATCCTCTCTTGTTTAGTAGCAGATTTCTCCAGCAATCTCTTCTTCCTCTATCTTTGATTTCATCTCCTTACTAGATCATTCCTGGCAGTGCACAGACATGCTTTTGTATCTTTCAGCCTAAAAGTCCCTTCTTCAGAGTTCACATTCCTCTGCAGCTACCACTTTCTCTATTCTCCTCTGTAAAAAAATCTCCTCAATAACTGTCTATATTTACTTTATCTAATTATTCTCCTCTTATTCTCTATGAATTGACTCTTAGTCAATTTTTATTACATTGTCCTTGTCAAAGTCACCAAAGAACAATGTTGATAATACAGTGGTCAAATCTAAGTCTTTATCATACTTTTATAGTCAGTGACATTTGACCCAATCATTCTTTCTTTACTGAAACATTTGCTTTGCTAAGCTTCCAGAAGATGATGTTGCCTTAATTTCCCCAACCTCACGTGACTCTCCTCCTCAGTCCCCTGTGCTGGTCTTTCTTATGTCTGTGACCCCTAAATTCAACTTTGCTCCTGAGCTAAGTGTTTGGATCTAGTCTCTTGTCTAAATATACTCACATCTTGGCAATCTTATCAAGTATATGGTTTTAAATATCATTTAACATCTGAAAAGATCTCCAAATCAGATCTTTCTTTTGAAATGTAGAGTCAGATATCTTGTCATCTCTTGGACATATTCATTGGATGTCTAAAGCAGTTAAAATATATCTTCTCTAAAAGCAAACTCCTGGTCCTGTCAGTAAGTTGCAACTTCATCCTCTTAAGTTTTTCACAGAAGTATATTGAGTCATTTGGTTATTCTTCTCTTTAACTCATACTCTTCCTCAAGTCCATGAACAAATCATGTCGGATTTACATTATATATATATATACTAGGGGCCCGGTGCACGAAATTCGTACACTGGGTGTGTGTGTGGGGGTGTCCCTCAGCCCAGCCTGCCCCCTCTCACATACTGGGAGCCCTCAGGCGTTGACCCATCACCCTCCAATTGCAGGATCGGCCCCTTGCCCAGGCCTGACGCCTCTGACAGAGGCGTCAGGCCTGGGCAGGGGACCCTCATTTCCCCCCATCACTGGTTCTGCCCCCACCCCACGCCCGATGCCCCTC